TGCCACCCCACCTCTCTCACCAATGCCCCGCCCAGCTCTTTCACCAATGCCCCTTCAAGCTCTCTCACCAACAATGCCCCCCCCCCAGCACTCTGACCAATTCCCCCCACAGTTCTCTCACCAATGCCCCCCAGTCTCTCAATTCCCCCAAACTCTCTCACCAATGCCCCCCCCCCCCCAGCTCTCTCACCAATGTCACCCCACCTCTCTCACCAATGCCCCGCCCAGCTCTTTCACCAATGCCCCTCCAAGCTCTCTCACCAACAATGCCCCCCCCAGCACTCTGACCAATTCCCCCCACAGTTCTCTGACCAATGCCCCCCAGCTCTCTCAATTCCCCCAAACTCTCTCACCAATACCCCCATAGCTCTCTCACCAATGCACCCCCCAGCTCTCTTACCTATTACCCCCCAGCTCTCTCATCAATCCCCCCCAGCTCTCTCACCAATGCTCCTCAAGCACTCTCACCTCTATCCCCCAGCCCTCTCACCATTCCCCCACCCTCAGCTCTTAGCAATCCCCCCCTCAACTCTCTCACCAATGCCCCCCAGCTCTCTCACCAATGCCCCTCCTAGCTCTCTCACTAAAGCCCCCCAGCTCTCTTACCAATGCCCTCACTCCCCCCAGCTCTCTCAGCAATTCCACCATAGTTCTCTTACCAATGCCTCCCCAGCTCTCTCACCAATGCCCCTCCAAGCTCTCTCACTAAAGCCCCCCAGCTCTCTTACCAATGTCCCCCCCAGCACTCTCACCAATTCCCCCATACTTCTCTCACCAATGACTCCCCAGCTCTCTCACCAGTGCCCCCCCAGCTCTCTCACCACTGTCCCCCCACCTCTCTCACCAATCCCCTCCAAGCTCGCTCACCAATGCCTCCCCAGCTCTTTCACTAATGCCTCCCCAGCTATCTCACCAGTGCCCCCCAGCTCTCTCACAAATTCCCCCATAGTTCTCTCACCAATGCCCCCCCAGCTCTCTCACCAATACCCCCTCCAGCTCTCTCACCAATGCCCCCCAGCTCTCTCACCAATACCCCCCCCCAGCTCTCTCATCAATGCCCCCCCAGCTATCTCACCAATGCTCCCATAGTTCTCTCACCAATGCCCCCCCAGCAGTCTCAATAATGCCCCTCCAGAACTCTCACCAATGCCCCCACCAGCTCTCTCACCAATGTCTCCATAGCTCTCTCACCAATACCCCCCCCCCAGCTTTCTTACCAATGCACTCCCCAGCTCTCTTACCAATGCCCCCGCCCTAGCTCTCATACCTATGCCCCCACTGCTCTCTCACCAATGCCCCCCCAGCTCTCTCACTAGTGCCCCCCCAACTCTCTAATCCCCCCACAGCTTTGTCACAAATACAGAATGCTATGACATTGCATTGCTGTGCTTTTTTTTTCAGCACAGTGCCGCTGACTGAGCTCCGACTGCCAGAACTGTACCACAGAGCCAAGGAGGAGTTTCACAGACCTTCACTCGGCTCCATGCTACAGTCTTAACAGTCAGGGAAAGAAGCCTCCTTGGAATCCCCAAATTACAAAAACTCAAAACAATGCGAGCGGTTGTGGCGCTGGGGCCTGGGGCACCCACGAGCAAATGTGGGGCATGTGCGCTGGGTACCTGGTGCTAGCACACAAACTGGTGGAGGAAGCAAGTGGGACAAGCTGAAAAGTACAGGGCTCCAAGACTCCTCCTATCAGGCAGCAGCTGTTGAGAGGCAGAAAGCGGGAGCCGAAGGCAGGGGCAAAGCTGGGAAGTGGCCTGCAAACTGTGTCATCGGTTGCTAAGATGCTGGCAGTCCTAGCAACCAATGACTGCATTGAAGATTGAGAAGGAACTGGGGGAGCAGATATTGCCAGCAAGCTCTGCTAACGGGAATCTTTACTTAATTCTGTGTATGAGAGAACACATTGCACCCATTGAGGACACCAATACAGAGTGGTGATCCGTGGGACCCCGGGACTTATGTGAAGTTTTGGGATGGTCCCACGGAATCTGGATGGAGTTTTGTCTTTTTTCAGCCAGACAAACTATGTAACTATGGGATGGTTGGGAGGTATGTAAACTGCCAACTACCTTTTTTTCATCAGCAGTATATAGCAGTCTTGTGACTTCTATCAGTGTCCAGCCGAGCACTGGTTAATCTTGTAGGAGGAGTTTGCATTCCCTCTGACTATCTTATGAGGCTGCACCTCCCTGACCCTTTGTTTGGACAGTGCTGATTGGCTCTGTGCTGATCACATGCACCCCCCCCCCCCCCAAAAAAAAAAAAAAAAAAAAAAACTCTCAAGCAATACACACCAAACTGAGCATGTGCAGAGTGCATCCTAGAGCTCTGCACTATCAGCAGATGGATTGGGGACATTAGAAGAAGGGGAGAATCAGAAAAACAGCCTTTTTACACAATGCGGAGGATTAACCCCTTATATTCCATAGTGAATATAACAAGCAAGCTTTACTGCATATTATTATTATTATTATACAGTATTTATATAGCGCCAAAGGGTATGCTCAGCGCTGTACAGTAGCAGGGGGACAGAACATGAGACAAGACAGTAACAATACAATACACGAGGGGTTCGAGGGCCCTGCTCTTTCGAGCTTACAATCTAGGAGATACAGACTGATTTTACTGTTGTGGGTTTAGTAACACTTTAAGTAAAAGTTTTGGCTCAGTTTGCACTCAGAGGAGTTTTTGGGCCGATAAACACAATTCATAACAAGTCTCCTGAGTCTGTCAATGCTGTCTACAATGTCCAATAACTCTAGAAGATAGGTCATATACTGCATTTCAACAGGAGTATAAGTGAAGTAATACTCCATCCTGGAACACACTCCCTGTGCAGATGAAATGGAGAGATCTCCTGTAAAAATGTTTTATCTGCAATGCATCAAAATGACGATGAACATATATCCAGGTGACAGCTAAGTGGACACAAGCGCTCCGACTTCAGGACATTCCCCATAGAGAACTGCCTGGGGCTACATTACTGCAGTAGTGAGAACTCGGGAGCAATCCAGGATAACAATCAGCTTCATACACGGCCAAGAAAATTCCAAAATCTGGAAGAAATTCCATTGCTGAAAAGTAGCCAGACCTTAAATGTTCGCCTCTCTCTAGCTGGTTTTTAATTATTAATCTGTATTTCTGTTAAGTAGGGAGTTATTATAGCGGTAGAGAGCAAAGGTGTGTGTGCTAATCACGGTCTCAGGGGGCGCTATGAACACAAGATCTCCCCGCTCTGTAATACCGGATGAATAAGATGTATTCTTCTCCCGTATTCCTGTTATGACCAGGGGGTACCTCCTGGACTGATCAACGTGCCTTAACCCGGGAAGACTGGGGGAGGTCATCTACTGAGAAATGCACGAAATAATCCCAGCTTATACTTATTTTTATCTTTTAAAGGAAGTTAATTATTTTATCACTTTACGAGAATCACCAGTAATCTTCACACACCAATTAAAGTTAATTGGAAACAGGACTTCCAGATAAGCCTGACTAACCAAATTTTTTTCTCAAGGCTGAAATGGGAAAAGACACATCGTTTATAGGGAATCACTGGATTTTGATGTGTAGCTGACCTCCAACAACTGTCAGTTTGCCCCATATTGACACTATGACCATTCAGCGTTAGAGCATTTTTACAGTTAAAAAAAACTCCTCTAGAAGCCCACTAGTCCTTTTTTTTTTTTTCCCAGCCAAAAAACGTTGATTACAGTCTGTGTGTGTATGGACACATAGGATAACATGCTGGGGGGTTTACTGGCTGTAGAAAAAAATGTCAAAAGCCAAAAACAGCCGCTGTAAAAACATCCCGTGTGCATGAGGACTTAAAGCAGAGCTCCACCCAAAAGGGGAAGTTCTGCTTTAAAGATTGGTCCCCCACTCCCTATTAAGGATTGGCACCTTTGGGGAGCGGGTACCAGAAATTGACAGGTACCCGCTCACACTTCCGTTGCGATCACCTGGGCGATCAGAAGCGGAAGTTGTCCTCCTTCCCCGTAGTCTTGTGGGACACGTGACAGGTCCCAGGAGACTACGTGACCATTCATGAAGCGCAGAGCTACTCATGCATGCGCAGTGGGTACCCGGCTGTGAAGCCGCAATCTATCACAGCCGGGTGCCCACACTGAAGATGCCGGCCTCCTGGAACACCAGACAGCCGGTGAAACAGGTTGCGGGGGACACACCACGGGATCGTAAGACAGGTGAGAGGCTGTTTCTTAAAAGTCAGCAGCTACAGTTTTTGTAGCTGCTGACTTTTATTTTTTGACAGGGTGAGTGGAACTCCGCTTTAAGGATTAATGCACATTGGGCATTTAGGCTCCGTTCACAGCTGTGCAGTTTGCTTTTTGTCCGTTTTGCAGTGCTTTTTTGCAGTTTGTTTTGCGTTTTTCTACACACGATTTTGCCGCGTTTCATATTTTGTTCCGTTTTTTTCTTTTTTTTTTCTTAAAGTGGAATTTTTTTTTCTGCTGGGCAGAATAAAAATGCAAAATGCAAATCGTGGCAAAAACGCACTACCATGCAATTCAGCAGATTCTCTATTGGACTCTATTGTAGCAAAAATGCTGCTTTTTGCTTTTAAAAAAGTCCCTGACCCATTTTCAAAAATGCAGCAGCTCAAAAAAAGTAGATGTGAACATCATCCATAGGAAACCATGTTAAATGGACTGCAGTGCGTTTCTGCAAAAAGCACTACAAAACACATTGGCGTGAACGGAGCCTAAGTCCCAATGCATGAGGGTGTTTAGCTGTGGGCACAGGTGTTGGCAGCCTATCAAATTCTATGTGAGGCTGACATCTGCTGGGCTGGACAGTAAACCTAACGGTTCTTATGTTTGGAGCATTATGCATCCAGAGATGAAGGATCAAAACGCAAGCAGGCTGCATTCTGGGAATTTGCTAGGTGCCCCTTCCAGCCCCGTCCAGCTCAGCTTCAGCTGGTGACTTTAATTTAATCCCATGCACATGTATCTATACATAATATACTAGGTTCACATCTGTGCGGGTGGTGCCGCTGCGGATCTGCATGAAAATCCATGCAGCCGCACCACCCGCACAGAAGAATGCGGACCCGCGGGTGGGTGCCATTAATTCTAATGGCATGCCGTCCACACTGGAAAACACAACCGTACTGGGAACCGAGGTTCCCGTGCTGGCTGCGTTTTCAAAAGAAGTGCAGGAACTTTTTCCCCACGTGTCACGGGGCATGGGAGTCCATTCAAATGAATGGGCTCTCGTGCCCGTGCAAGACGCGGCCCGCAGAGCCGCATAGATGTGAACCAGGGCTAAGTATTCAAGAGCACCAAAGCGAACTGCCAATATTTCTGGACAGCTTGGTCTGTTGAAGCTGACCTGTCTTCAGTGTGTATCTCTAGTATACCTACCTTTACCCCCGGTTCACATCTCTGCGGCCATGCAGGTCACGTTTTGCACGGGCACGAGAGCCCATTCATTTGAATGGACTCCCGTACCCTTGACACGCAGGAAAAGAAGTTCCTGCACTGCTTTGGAAAACGCAGCCCGCACGGGAACCTCGATTCCCAGTACGGTTGTGTTTTCCAGTGCGGGCGGCGTGCCATTAGAACTAATGGCACCCGCCCGCGGTTCCGCAATTCTCTGTGCAGGTAGTGCGGCTGCATGGATTTTTGTGTGGATCCGCAGTGGCACCACCTGCACAGATGTGAACCTAGGGTTAAGCGACCCGCTTGGCCCATCCATGTGGTCTATACAACCCCCACCCCCCCAGAGTTTACACCCTGTCGCCTCCCCCGCTTCCTTTCTTTCCTTTCTCTTTCTGTTTTCTTCCTTCCTTATAATAAGTATACTCTCTCTGGAAACTCCCTGTCATGGTTGGTCTTTGCTGGTGCCCAAAGCTCCGGGCCATCGTAGCCTCGAGATTTTGGATTGTTAAATTTTGCTTCCCTTTTTTGTCATTAGTTTTTCTTCTTTAACCGGGTTCATTTTGTCCCCCCGCGTGGGCGATTCTGCGGTTATACTTCTCAAAATTCAATAAAAGATATTGAACAAGAAAAGTCTAATTATAACTATTCCTAAAAAATCTCCTTTCCCCTCCTTCTACCTATCCTGCCTAATCTGTATGGAAAAGTTCTGTATATTTACTTACTTATATATTTTAGTCTGTTCCGGTGCGGACATGTGATCCCGCAACTCTGGCTCCCTGTAAGGAAGCGCTCGACCAAGGCTGTGTATTCCCGGAGCAGTGATTTATGGCATTCCCTCCTCTCACATGCAACAGGGGAGCCATAGCTGTGTCAATGGGCAGCTGCTGCAGGGGAGAGGAGAAATTACTGACAACAGATGGGCCATGGGAGCCTATGGGTGATGTCACAGCTCCAGGAATTCACAGCTGTTGGCAATCACTCCCCTACACAGAGCTGTAGAAGACTGAAAATAGGTAAGGACACAGGTCTTCTTTTTTATAGAGGTTAGGCAGGATCGGTAGGAGGAGGGGGAAGGGAACATTTTTAAGAATCGTTATAGTTAGGGGTTTCTTCCACTTTAAAGTAGAATTCCTGTCTAGAACTAAGTAGAATTAAAATGCCCCCCTCCCCCCACCTATGCTGACTAATCTGTGTAAAAAAAATGGGTTTACTTACCTAATTTAGGCCTGCTCCGGTCCAGTGACATGATCCCCTGTGTCAGGCATTAGCAGCTGCAGGGGAGAGGAGAGAGAGCTTTACAACAGCTGGGTAATCCAGGAGGACGTCACCCATAGGCTCTATTGTCCCAGCCATTGTCGGCACTCCCTCCCCTATTCTGTGGCCTCTGCTGACTGACACAGGATCATGTGACCGGAGCAGGCTGAAAATAGGTAAGTATACACATTTTTTTACATAGGTTAATCGGCATAGGTAGCAGGAAGAGGGCATGGGTCATTTTTAAGGCTAGTTAGTATTAGGGCAGAAATTCTACTTTAAAAGAAGTTGAAAGATAACGGACTTACTGGATGACTACCAGGTGAAAGTAAAGGAATAGGAAAAAAAGAAAACTAATGCAGCCACTACATCTATCAATTAGTAAGCTGCAATACATTACATTTTTTTGTTTTTAGATTTTTTAATGCTTTAACCACTGCAAGATTAAAGCGGAGTTCCACTCACTCATGATCCCACATTGCCCCAGCCGTTTCACCGGTCATCCTGTATTCCAGGCGCTGGCATCTTCAGTGTGGGCACCCGGCTGTGACAGCTTACGGCTTCATAGCCGGGAGCCCACTGCGCATGCATGAGCAGTGCTGTGTTTCCTGACTGGTCCCGTAGTCTTCTGGGACCTGTCACGTGTCCCAAAAGACTACAGGGAGGGAGGGGGGGTACAATTTCCGTTTCTAATTGCCTAGGCGATCGCAGCAGAAGTGGGAGCGGGTACCTGTCAAATTCGGGTACTACACCCCCCCCCCGCTCCCCAAAGGTGCCGATCCTTAATGGGGAGCGGGGGGACCAATCTTTAAAGCGGAACTTCCCCTTTTGGGTGCAACTCCGCTTTAAGTCCTCATGCACACTGGATGTTTTTACAGCGGCTGTTTTTGGCTTTTGACATTTTTTTTCTACAGCAAGTTAACCCCCCAGCATGTTATCCTATGTGTTCATGCACACAGACTGTAATCAACGTTTTTTGGGCTGGGACATTTCAAAACGCGGTAAAACGCAGCAAACCAGAGTTTTTGCACTTTTTTTGACCAACACGTGATGACGCCGCTAAATGCGGCAAAACGCCACTGAACGCCAATACAAAAACACTATAAAAAAAAGCTGAAAAACATTTTTAATGTGACTTTACACAGCTAATGTTACCAGCGTTATCAAAAGTCCCGTGTGCATGAGGACTAAATGTGTATGAGGATGGCACAGCTGAACAGCTCGCACAATGTTCTGTTCATTAGTCTAGGTTCACACCTGTGCAGGTTGCGTTTGAGCCGTTTCTGCACTGCACTGCGTTACATTTTGCATTTTTGCACTTGCGATTTTTGTGCGTTTTTGCCACGTTTTTGATGCATTTTGCATTTTCTTTTTCCATTTTTTTCTTGTTGCTAGGCAGATTTAAAATGCAAAACGCATCAAAACAGCGGCAAAACTGCAATAAATGCTTTTCTGCAGCGTTTCCATTGAAGTCTATAGCAACAAAAAGTCAACTTTTTGCGTTCCAAAAAGTCCCTTTCCAAAAAACGCACCGGGTGAAAACGCACAGGTGTGAACCTGTCCTATAGGAAACCATGTTAAATGGACTGTACTGCATTTCTGCAAAACGCATCAAAAAACGCTTAGGTGTGAACCTAGGGTGACACAAGGAATGGATAACATGCTGCCTAACGTCAGTAAATATCCAAATATTCATTTTAGCAGCCTGGAGTATGAAAAGGGCACAGATGCTTCCCATCAGCCTCACATGGCATTGAAACCACCGACACAACAATGTGATAGAATTTAACGTTTCAGAAACAAACGCGGAACAAACAAGCTCTAACTTGCATCCAATTACCTTAATAATAAAAACAATTTTCCTAAAAGAATGAGACCATTTTCCTTCACGCCTCTACACAAGAGAAACAAATGACTCATCACGTCAACCCACAAAGTCACATATATGATTTGGGTCAGATATGGAGATACACGCTGACACAAGATTTCATCAGAAAATGCGTACAGCGACTTGATTATAATGTGCTGACACCATGACAGGTCGGTGTCACTGAAGGGTACATTTATGTGTCACTTGGGACGGTAATGAGAAGTACCTCTACTAACAAAGCCCCGACACCTGACGAGCCGGTCTACACACAGCTATACTCCATATGATATAACAGGGAACCCATTATAGGGCTTAGGTAAGAGCAGGGGCGGACTGACAACTCATGGTGCCCCCGGGCAATAGGGGCTCATGGGCCCCTGTGTCCTTGCCCAAACTCAAAAAAGCCTATGAAAAAGGTACCAGGGGCATCTCATGGGGCCCCCTACTGACTCCGGGCCCTCGGGCAGTGCCCGAGTTTCCAAATGGTCAGTCCGCACCTGGGTAAGAGTGCGCCTATTGGCTCTGGCTCTGCAAGCCCATTGTTAGTCCTCATGTTAGTCCTCATGCACACGGGACATTTTGATAACTCTGGTAACGTTAGCTGTGTAGAGATTCAAGTTAAAAACCTGAGTTTTTCAGCTTTTTTCAGCGTTTTTGCATTAGCGTTTAGTGGCGTTTTGCCGCGTTTAGCTGCATTTTTCCATGTTTACGTTTTTTAGTGTTTTTTTTTACCCCCCCCCCCCCCCCAAAATGATTTATTTTGGTAAAAAAGTCCAAAAATGCCGGTTTGCGGCTTTTTATCGCATTTTGCCATGTTTTACAGTGTAAGTCTTCATGCACACTTCATGTTTTTACAGCGGCTGTTTTGGGCTTTTGATGTTTTTTTCTACAGCTAGAAAACCCCCCAGCATGGTATCCTATGTGTCCATACACACAGACTGTAATCAACATTTTTTGGCTAGGACATTTTTTGGCTGGAAAAAAGCCCAGAGCTACTGGGTTTCTAGAGTAGTTTTTTAGCTGTAAAAACACAGCAAAACGTGGTAAAACGCTGCAAACCTGCATTTTTGGACGTTTGACCCCCCCCCCCCCCCCAAAAAACTTTTTTTTAGTAAAAAAAAAAAACAATAACAACCACTAAAAATATATGTTTTTAAAATATATTCTTCAAATTATAAAAAAGTCATTTTAACATATATTGTTACATATATTTGTAAATGCATTCCAAAAATATATATATATTTTCCTTTTTTTTTTTAAATATATTGAATATGGCCAAAATTGTAGCATTTCAAATATGTGACAATATATTTGGGAAGAATATTTTTAAAATATATTTCAAATATATATATATATATATATATATATATATATATGTATATTTACTTATTTATATGTAAAGTGCTACGTAAATTGATGGCGCTTTATAAGTACCTGAAATAAAAATATGAAAGCTGTTATTTTTAGTGCGTTATTGTGAGTTGTTGCATGGGTAGAGTACTAAAAAGTTAAATTATGTGTTTCAGTTGTGATCACTAAATATCATGACATGAGATCAAAAGACCATTGCAGCAAATAGACCGTTCACTTTGCAAGAGGATTTTCCCCAGTGTGTATAGTGAATGAGGTGAAGCTCTGTCGAGTTTAATCATCCAATCATGTGCAAGCAAAAATGCTGTTTTATTTTAGTTTCCTTGCATGTGACCGGGTATTCTTGGCAAAGCAAAATGTCAACACATTCATTAATCTTTGGGGTAAATTCCCTTGCAAAGTGCACAGCCTAATTGCCTTTAGAAAATTAACCCCGAATGAGTCCTGTGCCCCGAATTCCCGTCTTCAGGGTTCAATCCCACCTTCTAGCCGGCAATCTAGCCGTACATCCATCCCTGTGTCTCCATGCTGACACTTCCCTCCCTGCATCTGTTACCGAACTTCTGCTAAAGAGCTTCCATACGCTTCTGTCTGCAATGAGTTTGTTTTGTGAAATGTGTTGGCAGCCATAACACACACTTATGGCTTGTGCTAGTGTAGGGAGTTCTGGCACTTATCAGAATTGACAGAGAACAAAGAATCCTTGCCTGGAAGCCGGTCAGACACACAGCCGCACTGTCAGCCTTGACGGAAAGCCACAGAACGCAGCTAATTATTTGTGAAGCCAAACAGGGACAGCTTATGTCTAAATTGCCTTTGTCACGTGTCGTCGGGGACTGTCACAGACCGCCAGAGCCACGCATTGAATCCAATGTGATAGACTTATGCTGTGCATGTGACACCACTAATTACTGACATATAAATGACAACCCTCGGTAACAAACACCTATAATCACCCTTCAGACTTGTTTATAGGTCCTTCTGAAGGATGCTACTGCCTCGTTATTTTATCTAACATCCTTAAAATGTATTGTATTTTCATCCTTTTTCTCCAAATGAGAGCTAGCAGAGTATGCTGTAGCACACAATAGGAATTCAAATGTTGTCCCTGTCTTAGTGTCTTAGTGTCATACAGAGCATTTTTGTACATGGGTTTAAGCACATATAGTGTTTTTTTTTGCCAGAAAAGTCTCAAAAACACAAACCAGAAGGGTTATGTACAGGAACACATAGGATAAAATTGAGCTGCTTATACAGGCGAAATGCAAAACACCTGTAGAAGCAACATTTTTAAGCCAGTTTGCAAGATTTTGGTGGTACCCTTTGCAAGGGCATTTTGCCCAGTGCTAGCTTTTATGTGCAAACAAAATTTCATGCAACCTTTAATTCCTTTTTCCCCCAAAACCTCCCTATGCATGACAGTGGAGGGGATCTACTTTAAGTGGTGCACTCAGAATCTGGAGCAGCTGTGCATAGTAACCAACCAGCTTCTAATGTCAGATCTTTCAATTAAGCTTTGACAATAAAACCTGGAAGCTGAACGGTTACTATGCAGAGCTGCACCAGATTCTGGGTGCACCAGATTTAGTAAACCTCCCCCAATGTGTCCTTATTACAATAATATGCAGTTCTCAGTCTTGTAAATACAGGCTTACTTTTTCTGATGCTCATATTATCAGCCCCCCGATCTGTCCTGCAAATGGCAGGACACACCCAGCATTGATTATGCAGCCCCGGGAACTTAGAACCCAGAAAAAAATGAACACTCCTGGCTTTATTTCCTACCCACGCATGCACAGTCCACTTTCTTTTAGTCTTGTAGAACACTGAACTACAAGAGAGAGCGAACTGCACCTGCGCAGATAGGGGTAAGAAGGCAGTAGTACTCATGTGTTAGTTTTTGGGTCTATGCATCCAGCGCTGGGTACGTCCTGCCTCCTGCAGGATGGAGAGGGGAGGACAATTATATGAGTATCTGAAAACATTAGCATTTATTCACAAAGCTGAGCACAGCACGTTAATGTATTAAGGACATTGTGATGCATATGGAAGCTTTTGGAAAAAGTAAGTAAAGGTGAATGAAACTATCTGAAACTCGCTCAGTGTATGGACAGCTTAGATTAGCATGCCTTCCCCAATAGTCATTGTGCCCCCCTTAGTAGCACTAGCAGCATCTACCTGCACTGCTCCCCGTCTCCCCTCTCCTCTGCATAACAGTAGATGCAAGTGCCTAGTAAGACAAGTATTAGAGCCTATGGCAGAATTGGCTTCAACAATTGCCTATGGGTATTTTCTGTATCGTTTCAGGTGGGCTGGAGATCAGCTAGCGCCACATCCCATATAGTAAGTATCCAACATTGTACAGTGAGGAGGGGATTTTTTGTTATTTTTTAGTTTCTCCTTGTGGCAATTATATGCAGCTATCTGTAAAGCTCCTGAAGAAGCCAAAAATTTGACGAAATGCGTCGAGTGGGAATTGTTGCCTTGTGAACTTCAAGCCATATGGAGTATCTTGGTTTAAAATTTCTTACAACTACAAATGTGATGTAGTTTTTTTTACATGATAATATGGCATAAAGCTTTGTATGATTTTAGTACAATATCAAATATTTGAAGTCTGTTGAGCACCTCAAAAATTCCCTCCTCTCTCTGTACCATGTTGGATAATTGCCTATGGGGCTCATCCTGTGTAGCCATTTGTTTACGTGCTAGCAGGATTGATATGATCATATCCTGATATTGTTAAGAGTGTGATCATATACATGTATATAAGTTATTGCCATTCAGTAAAATGATCAGTAACAGAGGGCTTTACAAATCACATTAACATAAACTTAAGTAAAATTCAAAATCTAATTCCAAGCATATATATTATAATCTAAAATGGCCATATATGTTACAATCTAATTTTACAATCTCTGTACAATTTCCTTCACAGTGACGAAAACCATGTAATATAAGGACCTTCCCAAATGGAGATGAACTCGGGTTTGGTCCAAATCCGGAAGTTACCTGTATTGCTGGGCCGATGAGCTGGGGTGGAAGGAAATTCAACCCACCACCACCACCACAGTGACATTGTTCTAGTATGTGAAAATGGCCACATTAGGTCAATGATGCCACAAGCAACCCCATTCTTGTGTAATGGGCAGTTGCAGGGTGGGGATGCCCACAGCTCATTGAGTCTGTGGGTTTGCAATCTTTCAACAGATGTGGGTGAACTGGGTTTGTCACAGATTCAGACTCTAAATCAAGCTTATTCCTATTCCTAAACTGTCATTTCAATGTGTATCCAACCAGTTAGGCCCCCTGCTGCTACTGGAAACTGTACAGTCAAATGCATGGCCAATTTAACTATAATTTGGCATAGTTGTAAAGTAAGAGCCATCTAGGAGATACAGTACAAAATCCTTAATACCTGTTGAAGTTAATCGGGTATAAGATGACCTCCTTTGGAGATGGGCCTTCCCAGCGGATAGTGTAGGGCTGCTGTAACATCACCACCGGCTGATACTGCTGATATGGTGCCCCTTTATTTACACCCACCAGCTTCAGTGGATTGGAAGGATAAGCTGCTCTGGCCACCAGTATGGTGAGGTTCTCTGGGCGCCTGGCCTGGATATACAGCTGCAAAGAAAGAGGGACGAAAAAACATGAAGAGTCAAAGCCAAGCAATCCCTAACATGTGCTTTCTATAAATATTTTCCTCTAATATTTTCCCCTTAAGAAAAGTTCAGTGTCTGTAAAGAGCCACTGAGCTTAAGCCAATCTAAATATTAAAGCACAATCATAAAAAAAAAATAATTTGATTATTCTTAGCTGCTTTGAAGAAGGGGGGAAGAAATTGTATCTAACATTTATAACTTTTATAGTTTTTACAAAAAGAAAGTTACAGAGAAGGCAAGGTCAAAAAGCTCCAGCAACTTCAGTCGCCAAGTGTGCTGGCACTAATTTTGTACAATAAGGGTTTATAACAAAAGCAAGGTAAGTAAACACAGTTAACATAGGTAACTACTAGCCATCTGAGGCTGAGTCTCCCACTAAACTTAGTCTGAGGAACTGCATCATGTAGAAGGTCTGCTTGGACCTGCAGTCCACTCTGAAATATATTGACTTGTCTGGACACCATCGTCAGGGACTACCGCCATTTTGGATTTACCACTATTGAACTCTACCTATGCAGGTATGCTGCGGTAGCCACAGTTAGGGTTAATTAGGGAAAGACTCTTTGCCTATTTAAACTGTTAATCTGTTATGCTGAAGTTTTACCAGTAAAGCCTTGGAAACATTGTCCTGCCTGGTCTGAAGTTATTCTAAAGGGGTGTATGAAAGTAACCGGCACACTACACATAGACATCTGAAGCTCGGGTCACTTATAGTACATTGGGATATGAATCAGTCTCTTCAGGAGTTAACATGGTACGGAGGAGATGCAAGTAGTTGCCAAAGTTAAGGAGAGATGAGTGATCAGTACAAGCAGCCTGTCGTGAAGCATGGTTCCTGTGTAAGTGAGATATTCTAGCGAGGGGGTCGCTGCCTCGGGCCTTCTCCCCAGCGATCCGTCTCTCACAGCACTGGGAGCAGATCGGCATCACGGAAGCCCTCAGCCTAAGCCACCAGGCCTAGGAGAGCATGAGGAACAAAGTTCACACATGAGGTCCGCGCTATGTGCACAACAGGACCCCATTCTGTCACTGGGAGCGAGATGGTAGAGATACATTGGATGGGTGGAGTGGGCAAGAGCTCAGCGTGTCTCTCCTAAATGCAACAGTTACAGTCAAGGTGTGCTTTGACACGGGACCAGAAGGTTAGTTGTAATCCAGTTATACACTCAATGCATAGAGTGTATGGCCCATCTCTAAGTTGCAGGACTGCCTTAAGGTTGACTTTCCTTGAAAGCGTTCCCCGCCTTGTCCCTGGGCATTGATGAGCATGACACAACAAAGGTACTCGATGTTAATGGTGAGTAACCCTGCCCACAGTACCAAGCATAGCCCAGAAGGACCTGGTGGGCCTGCAGTCATGACAGTCAATATCCACCAGGCCATATGATTTGGCGCCAAACGTAGGGCTTCGCCTACTTCATACACCTGAAGACCTCCACTAAAAAGACTATAGCAATAGTTAGTTAGAATTTATCCAGGCTTGCCTAGCAATACTGTACATGACTAGCCATGCTGCTTCCTGATTGGCTCCTGCACAAGGTACCCCCACTGGATTGGCAGAGACACTGATAAGGTGTGTATATAGCAACTGGTTCCGGAAGGATGCTCAGACCCTCCAAGTGCGTTACTACAGGTCACTAAATTGGACCGACAGCTTCCCTGGAAGAAGGTACTGGTCACTGGAGCTCAGTACCAACCTGCCGTAGGGTTTGCCCACTGCTGCACAGACACCCATGAGGAAGTCCGAGTTATATGCCAGTATTTTTTCAAGCGTGCTTTAAATATATTTCGAAAGTAGACAACAATTAATGAAATATTATGTGCAAAAATCAAGATAAATCACTAAAATGTCCACGTGGTGAAGAAAAAGAAAAGTTCTTCCAAAGAAGTCATTTATGGCGAAATGCCTAGGGCGGAGCTATGTGATGGCGTCATTGCGGTCCCGCGATCCCAGAAGTCAGGGTGGATTTGCAGTATATGCCGACCGGATAAGGTTTTTCATTGCACGCCTATTTTATTGTACATGTGAGTGTAATACTTAGCTTAATGAAAAATGTTTTAAAGATTGTACACTATGTGGGATGTTTGTTTTCATATTTTCTCATAAGTACTGCTCGGATGGTGATGGGAGGAGGATTTCTTTGAGGATCCCTGATGTTTTAAAAGATTACCAACAGGAGTGATGTGTCCCTGACACTGTCTTTATCCATGAGCTCTTTATGACTTTTCTTTAGTTAGAGGGTCATTTATAGTTGGTAAGCATGTTCCATTAGTAGTGCTTCCAGCATGGACTTTAATAAGTTGGTGGTGGAGAACTGATTTTGGATTGTGATTTTATGTTTATGCACATAATAGAGGACTTTTCTTCATTACGTGGACTTTTAAATTTTTTGTTTATCTGGATTTTTGTATATACCGTAACATTTGATTAACATTTGTCTACTTTTGAAAGATTATTAGACCACATTTTAAAACATATCTTTCCACATTAGTTTCACATGTTTTAAGCGTAGCTCATTGTTTGAAACAGTGATATTCTCTGTGAAAAATATCTCATAGTGAAGCTGTAGCTCTTTAATCATTTTTATTTTTACACACAAGCGCAGTTTTTTGTCTTGGTTTATATGCCAGTATTGCCTGGGCTCATTGCCATCGATGTGGAGCTCTTCTGTTCCAGCAGTTTCCTGCGGTCGAAGAAGCCAGAGACCTCGCTCCTGACGGACTGCCTGTCCCGGATGGCACCGGATCCACCACTCTACAGGAGCTCCTGGCTAAGATCCTCGCCCTGCAACCTCATCTTTTCAGGGATGGCCTTCCCCACTTGATTAGGGGTCGAGCTGCCACCCTGTTCATCTGCAACTGGACACCCACCTGTCCAGGGAGCTAGGACGGAACCTTCAGAAGTAATCTTAGAGGAAGTACCGCATCCACCAGCCTGCACCTGTCCACTGTAGACCTTCCGAACAACACTGGTTCACCCATTCTAGACTCACCGGTGCTGTTCCTCCCTCAAAGACCCCACCTAGGTTATTCTGCAACCAAGGAGACCCCGTTCATCCTCCAGGTCCCCCGCATGGGACCTTGGAAGGGGATCTCCTGGAACTCGCTACTTTTTGACAGTGACGAGGATCTTTCACCGTCACCAGAGTCCTGTGTGCCCTACCCTGCTATTTTATGGGCATCTCTAGGTTCCCACCTAATGATTAATCTGGCCACAAGTACTGCCACCCAGCAGAAGTATATCTGCCCCAAGGGTCTGTTCACTTCTGGGCAAGGATCACCCAGTTGGTCAGGTTGCAATGGTACTTGGACGCCCATGTTTGGGAACAATATGGTTTGGACTTTCCTTGTGTGTGAGAGCTTTTTTTCTGCCAGCTCAAGGAGGAACAGCCTAGGATGCACAGCCAAGCGATATGGGAGAGGCTTCCATTGTCCCGTGGCATGGATGAGCACAAAACAGCAAAGGTAGTCTGTGTTTATGGCGAGTGACCCTGCCCACAGTGCCTAGCGTAGCTCAGAAGGACCTGGTGGGCTCGCAGTCAACATCCATCAGCCCACAAGCTCATTTCTTAAGGTCATCTATCCCACTTCCACCTACTTCCTCCATCAGATAAACCTACACAGTTATTACCTTTTCAATTGACCTTCCCTTTTGGATTGTAAGTTCTCACAAGCAGGGCTCTCCTAGCCCTCATGTAATTGTATTGTAACTGTAAGGTAAAGTCCTGTGCAAACTTCTAGTGCTATATAAATTCTATATAATAACATTAATCTCACAAGAACATGGTTAAAGGGGTACATGGTGATACTAGAAGGCTGATAAACACTTTAAAATTGATCTGGCAAAAAATGATCTTGAGTTCACATTTTTGTTTTTTTTAAGTTTTACTAAACCCACAACAGTAAAATCATCCTCTCCTTCCACAGTCGCCAATCCATCTTCTGATAGAACAGATCCTTGTGAGCAAGCTGCACATGCTCAGTTTGGTGTGTATTGCTATAGAGTTTTTTTTTTTCTTTGGAGAGTGCATGTGATCAGTACAGAGCCAATCAGCGCTGTCCAGACAGAGGGTCAGGGGTCCTGCAGCCTCATAGGGAGAATGAAAACTCCTCCTCAAGATTTAACGAGTGCTCTGCTGGACACTAATAGAAGTCACAAGACTGCTTGAATTGCTGATGAGAAAAGGTATTTAGCAGTTTATGTTTACTAAAATAATTGCATTTCCATGTTCTGCGTACTGTGGGAGACCAGATATAGTGAATGCAGGGTCCTGGGTTTAGTAACACTTTAAGATACAGTTAACGCATGCAAAGACAATGAACTTGGGAAGGCCCTTTTCTGTTCCAGCACGACTGTACTTCTGTACACAAAGCCAGGTCCCTAACGACATGGTTCTGGAAGAACTTGAATGGCCTGTACATAGCACTGACCTCAACCCTACTGAAAACCTTGGGAATGCCATTTGCAAGGTTTTCTTGACCTCACAAATGCTCTTTTGCAGAACACACATTCCTACAGACGCATTCCAAAATCCTGTGAAATGCCTTCCAAGAGGATTTAAAGCTGTTATAGCCTCGAAGGAGGAGCCAACTCCATAGTAATACCAATGGTTTGGATATGGGATGTCCAACAACTCATATAGGTTTGAGGGTTAGGTGTCCACAGAAGTTAGGATTGTAAGGAGGGGATGGATTGAGAGAAATAAGATGCCCAACTAGCTCATATTGGTGTGATGGTCAGGTTTCCACCAACATTTGACCATCTTGTATATTTTTCATTGGGCTAAAACTGTGAAAACAGCTAGAAGCCCCTGGGAAATATATTTTCATTATGCCGTGTTTAATGGAATGGACTGCCAGACAAATGATAATAGTTCTGGGTGTAACACAAAGTACAATAAAGATTATTTTCAGATCACACAAGCTAAAGGTAGAAAACAAATCAAAGTGGCTGAGGTAAGG